ACTGGATGGCTCTTGGGGTCTCTTCCAACTCTATGATTCTATGATTTTAACATGACCGTTCATGGGTACTATGTCCTTTAACATAAGAGGATGGGAAGCTATTTCTCAGTCTTCCTAAGGCAGCAAAGTGTTTTGGGCCAGTGCTAGGGTGATATATGTGACTTTGCTAATTCACTCTTGAACTCTCCTTGTGGGTGGTATGGTTTATGAGTGGACTATGGCAGGCTCCTTCAGTCTTGTGACTGGAAAGTAGACATGCTGGTGGTACAGAAGTGATATCGAGTGGGGTGGCAATACCAGCTCAGCAGGAGGTTTCTAGGATTGGCGTCTAGATCAGGTCTAAATAAGACCTTGCTTTTTCCTCTCTATGATCATTCTCCTTATTGGGTCCTCTACCTCACTGTTTCAGGAATCCTGCAGCATTACGAGGATGCGGCGGCTGATTGAACGCCACAGTCCTCTCGCAACTTGATCCTCCCGGTCTCAGAAGGTGGCATCCCAGCAAAGCTAAGCCATGGAGGTGGGATTGAAATAACTGTTCCCTGTAAAAAGGGGGAGATGCTAATCCCACCCCCTGCTTGTGGCCACCTGTCCCTGTCCAGACTTTCTGAGAATGCAGGCCAAATACCAGGCTTTTGCGCCTGCTGTTCAGACCTGTCGTTAAAATAACAGGAGCCCTTTCATTTGCTAAATTTATCTTGTCCCTCTAACCTGCTAACCTTAGCTGGCTGCCCTTCCCGCTCCCCATTGTTAATACAGGAGCCTCTGTTAAGATGGGGAATGAAATGGGATTTCTACAGCTGCCATAATGTGGTGAATAAAAGGAGCAGTTGGGACTTTCCATGAAGCATTGAACTCAAAGGGCCTTGGAAGTCTAGCATGATGCTGAGACCAGGAAAATGGGACTGGACTTCAAGGTCCATGTTTTTGTCTACTAAACTCAGGGGCTCTTGATTTATGTCACTTGGTGACAGTAGCATCACTCGGGTTGGTGTCACCCAGTGCAGTAACTCGTGGTGTCACCCCCACATTGACCATCACCCATAGCACATGATAGCAACTCCTTTGTAATGTTTTTTGTACTAATGTTACTCATATATGGTAATTTCCATATATCACTGAATGTAATTTTAATAGTTGTGACATAAAACAACTTTGTTGTTGTTGTTAGCT